GGAAGAAAAGAACTGGAGGCCCTCTTTGAAGGGTTACCCTATAAATTTTCTTTTCAGGGTTCAACATTAATATAATGCTTTTCATCTCCCGATACTCTCAACGCTCTCTGTTGACTATTCACAGTTCTGTTTAACCAACCAACAGTGGAGAATGAATCTCAGCCAATTACCAAGAACTTTCGCGTACTCGTGATTCTCTGATAGAACCGTTAATTTGGATAAGGTCTCAAAAGTCATTTACAGTGTTACTTCTTCACTACTCCTTTAGCTTACTGTTTTTCAGTCTATTGATTTATACGCTTAATTACTTCATTACCATTTACAAGTCTTAACTTGTTACTTCTTATTTTAATTAATTATTTACTTATCAAATGTGCTCGGAAACTCTTCTATAATGGAAGTAAATATAAATTTTAACGTGCATGATTATTCAAGAGGTTAACAATTAGCAAAAAACGAACGTCTGAATGACGTAAAACGTAGTTAATTACAAATATAACAAAATGCCAGTCTATCAAATATAAATAAAGACGATATCCAAAAATTAGACTTACATTACGCCAAAACGTGCTACTCAAAACACAGCAAAACTACTCTCAAAGGTGAGCACAAAATTTCATTCCTCAAATCTAGCAACAACGTATTTTAACCCGACCGCCGTTATCAGCCACTTTACCATTTATCTGAACCTAGCAATACGTCTGATAGTGACAAACTGTAGCAGTTCGCTAATGCAGTCAACTTGTGTTTCGTAGAAACGAATAAGGCCTACGACCGAATCCAGAACAACAACCAATAGGTGTGCATGCGAACATATGGGATCGGTTGTCAATGCTATGGATCGTCCAATCACAATTTACTGATAGCAGACGTTGCGTCAGAGTAACGGTTTTAACTCGACACTTTCAACGCTGCCACTAGTCTCCACTAAAACTACGATTTGCCTTCTCTCCTGTCTGTGTTGTATACATGGATAGAACAGTCAGGGACAGCAAAAGCGATACGGGTATCAACGCAGGAGATACTGATATGAGAAGGTGCTGTTTGCAGACGGTATTGTTTCGTTGGCATCTACATAAATCGATCAAAAATTTCGCAGTCGGCCTGCATGCGAAAGTATCTTATATGAAGAGCCTATTGCTTTCTCATTCTCATGCCCGCTGGGATCTGCAGATATATGGGAGAGCACTGGAACAAGTGCAGAAATTTACATACCAAGGAGTCGAGTTTACCGATGATGAAAAATGGGAATAAGATCGACCGGCGAATTGGAATCGCCAACGGCATTCTCCACGAACTATCATGAACTGTTTTAACGACGATCCCGAGGTCTGAAGACCAAGCTCTCGGTGTAGATCTTCATCCCCATACTCACCCACTGTCATAAGTCATAGATGCGACCCCGAGTATAACGGCTGAAACGTGTTTCTTGCATAGAGTTGCGCCTCGAAATAAATAATAACGAAATAATAATGAAAATGCCTTGGTACATATCCGCTATTTTTCCAGATTCAAAAGTCATAGCTGTGCTGGTTTGAGCAGGTTTGGTTAACACTTCAATAAAGGAAAGTCAAACAGATACTACACTTTCCACTGACCGGCAGTAGATCTTGAAGCTCGAATCTCATTATGCTGCATTTTCGCGAACGTTAGGAGATTAATTTACGCCGCTGCACCGGCGACCCAAAGGGACATGCGGCCACTGAAATAACTGACACCAACTGAGGGAAATGTTATTTCGAATTACTCACATTCAAATGTACCAGCACACAACGAAAAGGAGGTAATTGTATTAAAATCATTAATTATCGAAGAAATTCTGTAAGAATATGGCCTACTCTGTGTTAAATTTAAAAGAAGACTCTGCTTATACTGAGGTTGTGAATTAACAACCATGTTTAACAGTAATTGTGATTCAAGCAGGTAAAGAATCAAAATCTCCCTTCTCGGCGACTTTGAAAACTCAACTAAGAGCGAGCATTCAAAAAACATCGGATTATTGTAAGATGCGACGTCACAGACATTCAGTTTTTACATTAATGACTTCTTCATCTCGACTGTGAAATGACTGCCTCACCACTAACCCCACCTTCACAAATACATGCCAACTGTAAAATCAAGTCAACAATATTTTCCGCTTACCCTTCTGTTGATCGACGACAGGTTCAGGCCTAGAAATCAATGGAGCAAAACTGGTGATGTTCTCCATTTGGGTCTTCCTAAAACAGAACATGTAAACTGCTTAAGAGAAAAATATAACTTACTATCATATAGTTTGAGATACGTTACACATTTTTAAATTGAATTAAATGGTTTACAGATAGAAAATGTTTTACTGATTTGTTGTCTATATCAATCAGCCAGCTTGACAAATACAACTAAACAGTACTGGATTAGAAGGGTCAAAACACCAGTTTTTTCGTACAAGCCTAAGGAATTATTTAAGTACCTATATTTTAGCGACTGAAAAAGTTTTTTAAAGACAAGAACAATTTCTTGGTCGCGACCAACTTACAATATACGTGAGAAGCTTTAAATAACGCACTTCTTTATTATAATTACAATATTTATCTTTTCTTATGTAAGATTTTTTTTCTATAAATTTGTCTTATGGAGTTCCTTTCTCATTACTTATATAATGCTATTTGCAAACACATTACAAA